TTGTGCCCTAAGGGGCTTTTCCACCACATCACTATTCATGAACATTGATGGAAAATAGCAGTCTCTTCCTCCACAAGAGAACTATCTCTTTAAAATGAGGCATTTACTGCTATTTAAATCCAAGGGCCCAGTGTCTCCACTTGCAAGAAGGGAAATAAAGATCAATGTAAGGCTTAAAGCTGCTCCAATGGTTTGGACCAGCTGCTGAGTGGTATGTGAATTTTCAGACTTTTTGTTGGGAAAAGAGGAATTCAACCAAGTGGATATTATTGGGTTGTGAAGAGCCTCTGAGTTAATAGTCATGTTTAATCTTTTATAGAGCCCCTTTCATCTAAAATGAGGCTGATTTACTGCATCACAAGTACATTTTGGAAACCTTTCATCTCTGTCTGTGAAGATCTTAGAGAATTCAAGCGTTGCAAAACGGTCCCTCTTTTCCTTCCTATTGGCCAAGTAGGACATGCTTGTTTATCAGAGGCCCCTACCAACTTTCGTCTTTCTCAGGCACGTACCAGCTTCTATTTTGTAGTTACTAATAAACCTTCCTCTCTTTTTCCTCATTCCACCCTTCCACTTTCTGGAGGCTATGGTGTAGCTGATAAACTCCTTGAGGGCAGAGGTTATGTATCTCCTGATTCTGCCTTATACCTGATGTGTGCTTTACACCTGGTGGCTTCATGTGAAGTTGAGAATTTGACTTTTGTAGCAGCAGCAAGGGATTTCACTGAGAGGTCAGACCAAGAGGGAAGAGGGCCAGAGCCAGGCAGGCTTGCTGGGCTCTGATGAGTCTGGTCAGAAGGCCTGGGGCATGCCTTCTTTACCTCTCTCCTTTCACCGTTGAGATAGGTTCTCTGCCGTGACTCACGTGAATATTGTGAGATTCGAATGACAAAATGTCTAGGAAAGAATGAACCGACAGTAATACCCTCGAGGATTAAGAATTTTAGTTTTATCCTGTACAAGAGTGTATTAAACACAATTAGAGTGTTCTTGATCATTTAAAATCTCCTGACCCATCAGTTTTTCTTCTGTTCTTAAGAGTAATACCGTCAGAGCTGGGCGTGGTGGCTCACACCTGTAATCCTTACACTTTGGGAGACCAGGAACGCGGATCACCTGAGGTCAGGAGTTTGAGACCAGCCTGCATAACATGGTAAAATCCTGTCTCTACTAAAAATACAAAAATTAGCCAGGTGTGGTGGCGGGCACCTGTAATCCCAGCAATTCAGGAGGATGAGGCAGGAGAATTGCCTGAACCCAGGAGGTGAAGGTTGCAGTGAGCTGAGATTGCACCATTGCACTCCAGCCTAGGTGACAAGAGCGAGACTCCATCTCAACAACAACAAAAAAAAACAAAAAAGAAAAATAGTAATTCCCTCAGGATTCACTGAATGAATCCTTGCCCCAGCACTACACAACCCCAATCTATTCAGTTTTTAAATGCACCTGTTGTCTTTTTTTTATAGTTTATGTAGTTTTTAATAGATTTTTAAAAATATCTTTGTAAAGTATAAAAAGCATTATACTTTATTTTTGTTTGAAGGAGGAGGGTTAATGTCTTTCCTCAATCTCGATAGGTCAATAATTGCTTCTTTTATTTTTCTGTTTTCGAGATGGAGTCTTGCTGTGTTATCAGGCTGGTCTCAAACTCCTGTCGTCAAGCAGTTCTCCTATTTCAGCCTCCCAAGTATCTGGGATGACAGGCGCACGTCACTACACCTGGCAAATATGTCAGTAATTACTCCTTGTACTTTTAGCTTGGAGTGCCGCTGTCTTTTACTTGCTGCTTCCAATCTGTAGAGAGTTGGGAAGCAGGATCATGAGGTTTGTAATAATCGGGTAGAGTAGGAATGTAGAAATCCTGAGTTGGTCCTGTGGCATTTTCTATGGGAAGAGTGCCTGGACTTTATGAAACCTCCCTCAGCATTTGACCCCGTGTGTTTCTTTCCTGGTTGTCTGCTATACTCCAGATAGGTGAGGCTGTGAAATAAACAAACTCCATATAAATGAAGTCTCATATAAACTGTCTCAAAAGCTTGTGTGTTTGTCATACCATATTCAAAGGATACTTAGGCCTCACGTAAAGTCTTGGAAGTTTATTAGAATTAATTCCAGATTATAGTTGTCTTTGTCATTTATCAGAGAAAGTAAAATTGAGGTAGATGGACTACTGAGTGACCTTTGAACTATGAATATAACTATGTCAGGACCAAATTCAGGAAGGTTATTTCCAATGATCTCCATCAAAACTTATACCTTCGGAAGACCCAGGGGAGACCCACAGAGTCAAGTGTAAAGGATCTGAAATCCTCCAGACAAACACCTTACTTTGAAAGAGAACCTTCTTTACATTCAACTAGTAATTCTTGAAACGAGACACTTAGGTTTCATTCAGTCCCCTCCATTAATATCCTTAGGAGAGAGAAGAAACCTAGAGTTACAAGTCCCTAAATACAGCAAACTGAATCAGTTTCTCTGATACTGGGCAACTCCACAGATCCTCAGAGAGAAGGCAGGCCCTCGGACCTCCCTGCTGCCACCCCTCACCACTCACACTTGGCTGACTTGGTCACTTTCATGGCCATTCGCTTTGCTTGAAAATATGACCCTGATTCTTTTTTTTTTTTTTTTTTTTTGATTTGGAGTTTTGCTCTTGTTGCCCAGGCTGGAGTGCAGTGGCTCGATCTTGGTTCACTGCAACCTACACCTCCTGAGTTCAAGCAATTGTCCTAACTCAGCCTCCCAAGTAGCTGAGATTACAGGTGCATGCCACCATGCTCGGCTTATTTTTGTATTTTTAGTAGAGGTGGGGTTTCACTATGTTGGCCAGGCTGGTCTCAAACTCCTGGCCTCAGGTAATTCACCTGCCCCACCCTCTCAAAGTGTTGGGATCACAGGTATGAGCTACCATGCCCAGCCATGGCCCTGATTCTTTATAAAAGTGATGGGAACAATCAGTCACCCCTTTTACTATTCCTTGGTAGAATTAACTACCACTTGCTGGGTATCCAAGAGTCCCAGGACATTCTTGATACTTTACCTAATTCTCATTTTATCTTCCTAACACAGGGAGGTGGTATTAATAAATACCATAAAATACATGCAGTGCTCTTGGCAGCTGCCTGGACTCTCTGTGACATTTCCTGAGACTATGAGCATCATGGCACAGGGGCTTGTCACCTTCATTTACTACTGTGTCATCAGGGCCACATGTAGTGCCTGGTAAAGAGCAACTGCTCAATAAATATTTATTGAATGAATAATAAATATCTGTCGTTAGATATCCCCAGTTTTCCAGATGAACAAACTAGAGCTTGGAGAGGCTTTGTAATGTCACTAGTTCACATCAGGAAGTAAAGGAAGAGCTCACCTTACAGCCTGGACTCACCTGGCTGTAGAGCCTGTGTGCGTCCTCCTAACCCTGCTCTGGCTGCCCTGCGAAGAATGAATGATTCTGTGGAAATTCATAGATGCTTGTGAAGTGGCTCTGAGTGGCATAGTTCTTGAGTGTGTGGTGTTTGTGAACTGGCTGTTGGGAAGATGGCCTTGACCATGTCAGCTGGAGTCTATCTCTGACTCTGGGACAGTAGCGGGACCAGCTGTCCTCCCTCCCCCAGGCTGTTTGACTGTGAAACCTAATTAACGTAGCCTGCCTTTCTACAGTCTTTTACCCTGTCATGGATTGTACTGCCCTGGATCTTTCGCAGATGCCTGGTTTTCCTTGACAGACTTCTGCTCTGGCTCCTTAGATTATGTAGATTTTTAAAGTCTGTAAAAAGGTAGTTCTGTGAGGTGATATATATTTTAATTAGCTTGAATATGGTAATTATTTCACATTGTATACATATATCAAATCATCAAGTTGTACACGTTAAATATATGAAATATAATCTAACGATTTCAGGAGGTAATTCCAATCAATCAAAACTAACATGGTAGAGAAATCACATATACTTGGGGAGAGGGTGGTGTATTGCAAGGAGATACAATTTTATGACATATAAATCTCAATGGATTCCTCGATTTTGTTTTGATTTTCACAGATAAGACATGATATGAATTTTTTGTTCATTGTTTCAATAACTAATCAAATTTGCTGCTTTTGTAAATTGGATTTGGAAGTTTATCTGTCACCTATATTAAACCTCTCGGCAGTGTTTTGTAATGACACCCAAAGATACTTATCCCATAGCAGTCTGAATTACAAATTTGCCAATTGTGTTTACATGGGGTTCTATGTCAATAGGTGCCACATTGTCAAACTAGAATTGTGATGAGAAGAAACCCCATGACATACATTTAAGTTAGAGAATATCCGTGGCCATAAAGAAAATGCTTTTACCTTATCAACAAAGTAATACCCTAGTTCTGACTATTTACTTAAATAAAACTCAGGTACTTTCAAACTTCATTAAGATAACTCTATTTTTTAAGAATTCCGAAAAATACTTCTTAAGGTTCTTTTATCCTTTGTAAATTTGCTATTGATTTTTGCTTGTTTATGGAATCATAGGGGCCTTGGGAAATAAATATTATATACCTGCCCCCAAGCAAGACTGTATTCAAGTCATCCTCAAAAGACAAATCACTCCCTTCTAGAATATCTCAAGGTACGAAAGCATCTGTGGGGCACCGTTCCGTTGGCTCATTTGCTTGGCAAGGCTCTTCCAATGGGTAGTCTTGTTCAGAAAAATAAAAGGAACTAAGAGTTTAAAATGTATCTTTTTCTGAGTTTATAAAGATGAATTTGCTACATGGCTTTTCTCTTAGGGAGTGAGTATTGATGTGAATGTTTATGACACTGGGGATCAAAATGATCAGCCTGTTTTCCCTTCTGTCTTTGGAGAAATGAAGAAAAAAAGCAACAAATTGTATTATGACTTACTTCAAGGCTGTCAGCATGGAAAGAAAACAGTTCTATCAAATCAGTACTTTGTATATAGGTTTGCATTCTTAGAGCTATGGAAATTACTTTAAATCTATTTTTTGTTTTTTTCTAGGTACATTTTGACCAGTTTAAAGAAGCATTAATACTCGTTTTGTCCAGGACTCTATCAAATGAAGAACACTTTCAAGAACCAGGTAAGAGCACTAACTTTTCTTCTCTGCATTCTCCTTTAAAAGTTGTCCAGGGAAGAGTTTGGGGACCTCGAAGCATGTGTATGAAAGACTGGGGACATCTGCCTTTCACAGATTGAGCAGTTATTTTCAGTGACTTCTCTTCAATATTATCATAAAAGCTTTGCAGCTGTTGAACACTAAAATGAGCCTTCTCTACTACAGCAGCATAGTATTATGGAGAAAATAATTGTATTGTTTGTAGGCAGTATGTCAGATGGTGTGGCAATAACTCATTCTTGGGATGAGTAGAATGAAGCTGAATGGTAACTGCATTCATTCTTATTTCCTTGTACATGGAAGGACATGATTTGGGGAAATTTTTTCCCAAAGGCAGAAGAGTGGCCAATGTAGAGATAATTTTACTTAGTTGTAATGAGCAGATAATGCTCTGCTGTAGACATGATCACATTGCATTATAATTATATCTCCTCCTCTCAAGAGATAATTCTTTGAAGACCATGCTGTTCATTTTTGTATTTGCAGTGCCTAAAAGAGTGCTTAGCATGTCGTAAGTATTCAATGAGTGTTTCAAAATAAAAGACTTAATAAAGCACCATAGGTTGTAAGACGCATTGTTATTTCATGTAACTCTAAAAACAAAAATTGTTGCCGATTATAATATAAAATGACATTAATTGTGAAATACATTCTCATTTCAGAGTGTTCATTTTTGGTGTGTGTTGGGGGACGGTGTCTTCAAATCAGTGAAATAGGGTAGATGTGTAGAGTGGAGTCTTAAACACAGTCTGGTTTTATCAAATCAGTGGTTGTTGGGCTAGGGGTAGGAGTTGACTACAAAGGGGCATGAAGGAATTTCCGGGCCGATGAAACCTTTGTATCTCGATGGTGCTAGTTGGCTATGGGATTGTGTGAGTTTTTCCAACCCAGAGACTAGGGCACTAAAAGGATTAAATTTACTATGTAAATTATACCTCAGTAAACCCTACTTTAAAAATGAGCACATCAAAAATATAGTCCAGTTTTGAAACTGAGGACAAATCATTAACATTTTGCCACTACAAGGAGTCATTCAGTGTGACCTATTTAGGTGAGGCACAGATGGGAGCTCATTTCCCACCCTTGCCGGGTGATCTAGTTCTTCTTTCTACCCTCTGAAAAGTGCTCCAGATTTGTGTTGTGTGTACGAACGCTGCCTTTAGCAGTGTTTTAGATTCTGGATTGAGTCTCCCCCTTTTTCACTCATGGTGACACCCCTAGCAATGTTGTTATTAACTCTGACACTGGATAGAGGTTTTTGGAAGCCCCCCGTGAGCCTGAGAGGCAGGCCATTGCATTCTTGAAATTTTCCAGACAAACATTAAAGTTCCACAGGTGACCACTGTTAAGAACATGGACTTTTTATGCAGTCTCATTTTATTGGTATTTTCACTTTTTAAAGGTTATCTGTCATCTTGATAACAATTTTGCAAGATCTGGGGACCCCAAATAGAGCTATGGTGACATCGCTGCCATGGTGGATATTAGTATCGTGAACATAGGTAACATAAGCATACATTCAGGATTTTGTGTGCTGATAATGTGCTTTTATGTAGATTTGGAACAGGCCATCCTGGCACTAATCCACATGATCCTCCTGCTGCCATTTCTTCAAAACCTGTACTGTCACTGTCACCTGCCAGAAAATTATCATAATAAATATACAGATTTGTAGTGACTATGGATGTGAAGGGTCCCTGCCCAGAGTCATATGTTGTTGGGATCCAAGCAGTAGGTTGAGCTAGATCAAGCTTGTCCAACCCATGGCCCATAGGCCTCATGCAGCCCAGGATAGTTTTGAATGCGGCCCAACACAAATTTGTAAACTTTCTTAAAACATTATGACATTTATGCATGGACCTTTTTTTTTTTCTAGCTCATCAGCTGTCATTAGTGTTAGTGTATTTTATTTGTGGCCCAAGACAATTCTTCTTCCACTGTGGCCCAGGGAAACAAAAAGATTGAACACCCCTGAGCTAGACAATGGCTGGTTGAGTTTAGCCACAGCCAGGAAGTGAAGTTTATACATCTGGCTCCAGATGGTGGTTTCATAGTTACGTGTCTGCCTCACTGCTATGTAGGCAAAGATCGTAATTTGGACAAGTCTTTTGGGGCAACACATGGAAACGATTTTTATAGTTTTGCTCTGTGCTCCATCCTTTGGGTAGGCAGTAAGTCTTTGTCACAAAACTGCCCCACATCAGTGTAATGCAGCAGGAAAGTACTTATTGATAGCATTTCATGTAGCGTTTATGACTTCCCTAACATTTGTCCTGGCAGGATGAAATCTAGGATTCAGCCTGTGCTTTGAGACATGAGTCAGCCTTTCCTCCCACAGCCCCTGCTTTGTTCCTGAGCATCTCTGCTTTTTCTGTCTTTTGCCAGTCTCTCCTAGGCCCCTCCAGTTGTTCGTGGGGATTATGCAATTCTTTCCATTCAGACATTCTTCCACCCACTCTAGAATGTGACTCTCAGCTGGGCGCGGTGGCTCACGCCTCTAATCCCAGCACTTTGGGAGGCCAAGGTGGGCAGATCACTTGAGGCCAGGAGTTCAAGACCAGCCTGGCCAACATGACGAGACCCCATCTCTACTAAAAATACAAAAAATTAGCCAGGTGTGGTGGTGGACACCTGTAGTACCAGCTACTTGGAAGGCTGAGGCAGGAGAATCGCTTGAACCCAGGAGACAGAGGTTGCAGTGAGCTGAGATTGCACCTCTGCACTCCATCCTGGGCAATAGAGTGAGACCCCCATCTCAAAAATAAAAGTGACTCAACTCCCCTGCAGGCAAACTGATTTGGCTGGGCAGAGGCAGAGGAAGTAGGGTCAGGATTCAAATGCAGTACATCAAGAGGCCACCTTTATTTACCTCTCCCTCTCCCTTTATGGGAGTAATTATCCATTAAATCATAGATCATGGCATTTGACGGCTGGAGAGAACCCTGCCATTTCATCCATGAGCAAATAGAGACCCAAAGACGGACATAGCTTAATTGAAGTCTTACAGCTAGTGGCAGAGGAGGGTGCTTGTACTGTATCACCAAGGGATGTGATTCAAGGAGGCTTTAGGTTTAGGATTTTAGCTTTCAAATGGATGAGCCAGTCCTCAGTCAGTGCAGCCTGGCTAAAAGGGTCTGACAAGTGGCCAGAGGCAGCAAGGAGAAATGAACAAAAGCATGTTTCACCTGATTATGAGGGACAGGGATGCCTGTGTCCTCTCTATTATTTGGCTGCTCATGTTAGTTCATCTTATACCAGAAGCGGCCAGGTCTGAGTTATTTCTGTCTTGCTTTTTTGAAATCAGTGGATGTGGTAGTCCTTGAGAGAAAAGGTTACCTTTATGCTATAGAAGGAGACTGAAAATAATAAGGGGGCCATAGTGCACAGCCTTAGAAACCAAGAGGGTCATGAACTGATATTTTATAACACCAAATATTTTTACAAATTAAAATACCAGTTACTGTACCAGACCGTAATGTGGAAAAGTCAGTGTGATGTAATTGAACCACCCTTGAGTGAGGAGTTAGGAAACGCTGGCTCTGTCCCTCTAATCGAGTGATCTTATATATCACGACCTTAATGGTCTTTGGTTACCTTGTATGTAAAAGTGGTTGTGCTGGAAAATATATAAAATCCTTTCCAGCTCCAAGATTTGATTGTATTGCTTCCCATTATCTAAATGACATTATCCGTATCTGTGAAAAATGCCAGCCTTGTGTTTCTGTAAGATTTTACTTAACATTCATTGAAACTATAAAGTTCTTCCTAAGGACAAATGCATAGTATATTTCATGTTTTCATAGTCTCCTAATAAAAGGCAGTTATATATACATTCTATAAAAACAAAGCTCTAAGAGGATTTGAGAGGAGATGAAATTAAATTATTATTTCCATAGTCTTGGGCTCTGCCATTTATAACTCCTCTGAGGTACAGTTTCTTTATTTTTAGAATCGGAAGATATGGACTATTTTCAGCATCTTTTAAACTCAGATATTTATAATTGTAAGACTCTTGGAGTTTTCCCCCTAAAAAGCGATTTCTATAATAACAACACCACAATGAAAGATACTGAAATTCAGATAAAGGCAGAAAAATGGATTGGGAGGTAGGGAGTCTTTTATAAATTCTAAACTCATTAGCATTGCCAGTGGCATAATTCTCCCATATCTATGTATACAATTTAATTTTTAAATTATTTTTCTGGAATAGGAGAGGGGCAGCAACTTAATTATTAGCTATTTATTCAATTTGCTGTGGCTTTGGATTATAGGATTTTTGTAATGGAAATGCTGGCACAGGCTCCAAGCTATATGGCATCAGCGTTCCAGCCGGATCCTCTCTCCAGAGATTCTGTCCTCATTTGATGCATCTTGCATTAGATTTCTGTTCTTTAATAGACATTAGCATAATGCAGGAAGCCCTTTCTTCCTTGATGTGATTCATTGGCAATGTCTCTTCTTTGTTTATTCGTGGGGAAAATTCAGGTTTGAAAAGGCCAACTCATTAGAAAAATAGGGCCAGGCATTGTTTTGGTAGAGATGTTTTATTGTAACAGACCTCCCTAATTTCAAAGACTGCCATAACTGTAATTATTTTCTTTATATTTTGAGGAAGTGATACATACAGTTAATAGATATTGTTTCATTTACTCAGCAATTGTGCCTTGAGTCAGGTTTTATGGCCTGTCACTGGGCTAGGTATTGATTTCAGTGGTTGAAGATTTATGTTTATAACTATGTTCAGAGGCCTTGGTTTAGGCACTGAAGTCTGGTTGAAGTCCCTGTTTTAGGAGATACTACACACAGATGGCCCAAGAGGCTTGTTCTATTATCCTCTCTTGGTTAAGATAAGTAAGAACTTAGTCTCTGTTCTGTTGGTGTCGATGAAATGCCAGCAGTAAGTACCAGAAGTTTTCTCCAAGAGTTAAAAGCAAAACAGGCTGGGCACGGTGGCTCACGCCTAT